GAAAATAGACGCTGCGGCGCCCTTGAAAATGTCTGTTCCCATGCCTCCGACTCAAAGAAATCCAGGTCAAGAAGCTTGAACACACACCTCAAGCCACTCCCAGATTTGAGGCTCGCCACTTTTTCGACTCCGGTCAACGGCTTCGTGGTTCGACGTCGCCCCTTTAGGGAACGGCGCATCTCGCCGAGCAGAACTTAGCTCAGCACAATGGAACACCAAATGACCTTCCTCGCCTCGCAAGAAAAACACAAAGCCCAACGGGACTAACCGCTCGCTTTTTTGAGGATACCCTTTTGTTTGGGCGGTGTCTGTCTGGAGATTCCTCACAAGTGATTGTCAGCTTTTGTTTGGGGGACATCATGACATCCATGTTAGAAGGGTTGCTATTTGCTTGTCTCGCTTTTTGAGGATACCCCTTTCGGGGTTGGTTTAAAGGGAAACCAAAAGGACGCCACTCATGCTTGGTTTTTTTTGGCACATACACAAGCATAATCGACCGATGAGCAGCTGATATCCGCGGACAATTCGTTCATTTGGGAAGAGGACATACGAGTGGTTTAGGGGGGGGGCTCTATCGGGTCTTAGTGCTTGGCGTCTGTGTTGAAAGATATTGAATGTGGCACTGGAAGCAAACAACATATATGAGACAAGTGCACAAGTGGTACATCAAGCATTGAACGTCGCCGCTTTTCAGTTCCGCAGTAGTACCAGTATGGAAAGCAGTAGGTACATGGCATTTAGTCTTGCTCACTGAACTACAAGGCGCCCCCTCCTATTAAACGACAAATCATTCAAAGAGGTTGTGGGCTGACACTGCGTGCGGCAAGCAGCTTCAAGCCATGAATAGTCTTGGTCGGCATGCGCTTTCCGCACTTCAAGAGCCTTGATCAAGGATACCTGAAAGCTCGTGCCAAAAGGGACATTCCTTCATAAACGTTGGCATGTACTCATAGTAAGCGGTTAGTAAGCCGGGTCATTATAAGTCTCCTAAGTGAGTCATAACCAGGCATGCTAACCACTTACTAAGTACCCTGCCACTTTAAGTAGGCCATGCATTTCAATTGGGGACCCGAAACGGTGGACATCAATGAGGGCAGGCATGTCCAGCAACCACTTTTGAGGTAGTTCCCTACAAAACTCATGGCCAAATGTCGGCAAAAAGAAGATGTGTCAAGCAGTCCCGGGGGGGCTATGCATCAACCAAACACAGCAAACCTGAAAGGTAAGCACCTCGGGCAACTTCAGGTCAAGTGTTGTCTGGCATATCAATGTCAAAGCACATGTAAAATATATTTCTCGCAAAGGGACTCATTACAGGCAAGTCTCAATCAATCATATTACATAAGCCCCCTGAAACAAAACAAAAACATGTCCAGGTGTGATAGAATCCTTAAAACCAACAAGGGAAAACAACATGTTGTTCAACAAATGGAAGCATAATGCTGACCCAGGATTAATAAACCCCCCCTATTAAAGCGCCTGGCTTTCCTTGAGAATCCCTCGCCAATACTCGTTTTAATGTGCACCCCCACAATAACAAAAATTTCCCCCGAACCCCCCCCCCCCCCTATTAAAGCTCCCCTCCCCCAAACCCCCCGCTACATCATGCGTTGTTAATCTAATTTTAACTTGCCCAACTTCTGTTGCACATGCAACAGCAGCAACCCCCCATTAGTAAAGCCAGCACCCCCCTGTTAATCTACCATGTTTGATGCCCTGCTTTTGCACCCCCCCCCCATTAGTAAAGCCAGCACCCCCCTATTAATCTACCATGTTTAATGCCCTGCTTTTGCACCCCCATTAGTAAAGCCAGCACCCCCCTATTAATCTACCATGGTTGATGCCCTGCTTTTGCACACCAGCTCCTTTTTTACAACAGCAGCACCCCCCCATTAGTAAAGCCAGCACCCCCCTATTAATCTACCATGGTTGATGCCCTGCTTTTGCACACCAGCTCCTTTTTTACTTGCAACAGCAGCACCCCCTCATTAGTAAAGCCAGCACCCCCCTATTAATCTACCATGGTTCCCCCACCTGACCTTCCCACAAGGTCCTGACCTTCCCACAAGGTTCCCTCACCTGACCTTCCCACAAGGTCCCTCACTTGACCTTCCCACAAGGTTCCCTCACCTGACCTTCCCACAAGGTCCTGACCCCACAAGGTTCCCACAAGGTTCCCCCTGACCTTCCCACAAGGTTCCCTCACCTGACCTTCCCACAAGGTTCCCTCACCTGACCTTCACACCTCACCTGACCTTCCCACAAGGTTCCCCTTCCCACTATTGGGGGGGGCCCTCAAAAAAATGACAGACCTGACCTTGTGACCTTGAGGGGGGGGGGGGGGGGGGGGGGGGGGGTTTATTAATCCGGGGTATGCATTAACTTGGACACCAAGCTACAACGCTTGCCTGCGACTTAAATGAAAAAAACAAACAAAAATCATGTTGCCCCTGGTGAATCTTCTTGGTCTCATTGGCACGTACCTTTCGTACTAGCGGCTTTCCAGATGCTGGCTTTCCGTGCTGGCGAGTCAGCTTTAAAACATGGCGCGATCACATGCGGCTTGGATCCTTGACACCCGGCAATCTTCTCGCCCCGCGGAAACCGTATGGGCACTCCATGCATGCCTTGTCTAGTGCCTCCACTGCAATCAGCGGCCAACGAAACACATATGCCGAGTAGGCGGTTGGTCAACTGAAATCATTGTGCAAACCTTCCATTTTACTCTCGCAAGTCCTGGCAGAATCAAGTCTTCATCAAAGTCGTGTGGTACTAGGTCCTCCAGTAGCGAGGTTTGAATAAGGGTACCCTTTTTTTCTGTAGTCTATTTTAGTAGGGGAACCCTCCCCCAAGAAAGGGTACTGGCAAACCTAGCAAAAGACCTCTAGAAAGTTGGAAAGCTTATCCCCTCGTCCTTACGAAGCACCTGTTTGTCGTGCTGGGATATGATACATTTTCCTGGCACATGCTGACACCTCCCTTCCTTGGCAAAGCGGCTGGGCTACCAGACAATTTGAAGCTAGGGATGGAAGTTGCAAAGTTCGGTTTGATGGGAACCAACGAGACCGACGTTGGTGGCGGCGAAGTGAATCGGCTCAAGCTATGCTCCGCACTCCTGTGTCAGTTTTGAGGTACCCAACCAAAACAGTCCTTGCTGGTGCGATAGGTATGACAACAAGTCCAGGTTTTGGGAATGAACCGGTTTTGGGGATTCCCGAATAAAGGAAACCACCAGTTGGATGGTTTCTCTCGGGGTCATTCCATTTCTCATTCCCTGCTGTGCACCAGCCAAGAGTCGTTTCTTAAACAAGGGTCCTCCATGGCTCGGTTTTCGCCCCTGAGCCTTTAAAAGGGTAGGTGTGGCTCTAATCCTCAGAATGGGTGGTGTCCCTTTGGCATTTTGCCTCCCTTGAAACCGCTTCCCTTCAAAATGACAAAATATGTCCAATAGTGAAACCGATTCCCTTTCAAACCAACAGGGAAAACAAAAACAAACAAACTGTTCAGCACACGGAAGATGGGGTAGTTTGATATTCTCTACACCTTTCAAGCAAATGGAAGTCCAAAACAATGATGGAGCCCAGCAACGCAACTCAAGTTTCAGCAACACGTTGATGCATGTCTTTCCAAAAACGGTCGGCGATTCGGTCACGGCCGAATCGCCCCACGGGCGGAGAAGTGAGACGCATTTTCGGCCTGCGGATTCCGGCAAAGAAGGGCGGCGCGCAATCACGATGTTTGGAGGTGCCGTCTCCAAGCCACTGGTTTGGTCGTTCCGTGGCTGTGTTTTGAGAGCTTCTAGGTCCTCCAGTAGAGAGGGTCGAGGTCGGCTTCCAACTTTGTTCTGTCTTTTAGGGGAACCCTCCCAACCATAAAAGGGTAGAGAAGGGCACCTAGCTGCGGGACCTAGGTTTCTGTTTCTGGTCTCAAGGCAGCCTTAGAGGCTACACCCGACATCTTGGAGCGTTGCTTAGGTCAGAAGTCCGGCTGGCCAGCGACGAACAGAAGGCTCGGAGAGCGGCAGAAGGCAACACGAAACACGTTGCCCGGCAAGACCGTAACAGTCCCCGAGCATGGCCCTTGGCGCAAGCTGCTCATATATATATATATATATATACAGTATATAAATATTATATATATATGTATATTTATATATGTATATAAATATATAATATACACATATATATATTATATATCTCTCTATATATATATATATATGTATGTGTTTATTCGTGCTCGGGCCTGAGTAGATTAGCTTCCCTCTATTTTCTAAAAAAAAAAACGCGATGGATGCTTTTTTGGTGGCTTTTGCCAGTCCTTCCCCCTTTTTTTTCCTAGTCATCTTTGGGTACTGCTTCATCCTACAATTGTGGATCCACAAAAGCCACATCTAAACCGGTCTCTAGATAATTGGTTTGGATTAGGGGATTGGAATTCAGGGGCCCGGTAACTTTCGAGCCCTCAAGAACCAGGACTTCAAATCATCCAAACCACCAATCACCATGGAGGCTAGAGACTATCTGGATGGCTCACGTATGCCTAGCAACTGGTAGAATCTTTCGGCTCGCAATTTGTGGGTCTGCCAAAATGCTAGGAGACCAGACCTTCCATCCAACCCTCGCTGGTGTTGATGCTCAATGTGCTACACAAGTTGCATGCGTTCCAGCAGCGGACTCATAGCATGGCCAATAATTTCTCGAAATGATCACCCGCTTGAGATCCTGCATAGGTTAGTGGGCAAAAAGGAAACAACAAATCTATATTCAAAAAGTTGGGTATGCACACACACACACACACTCAGACACAGGTTTTTCAGGACGACATGACATGTGGAGAGCGTGGCCACTTGCGCCGTGGACAGTGAATGTGAAACTTTGTGCAGCATTTTGCGGATTCGAACCGCTTGCTTGGGGCGCCAGCGTGCCAAAAAACAGAGCGAGCGAGCCACGGATGCTCCGAGAATGGCCCAGGGCTGTTCGGCGGACAACTTGTGGTTGCTGTGGACCAAACAAAAAGCATCTGGCACATGCAAATCTGGGTCCGAAATCGTAAGCATGAGCAGCAGTGGCACTAATTCGGAGTCAGAACGACTGCAGCCCTGCTCCTTGGGTTCCTTTGTCCAGGAGCAAAACTGGCCATGCTTGTGGGTCAAAACAACTGCACGCGTACCAGAAAAAGAAAGACGTCAAAATCCCGCGCCAGTCGGAATGGATGAAACCCTATGACTACTGAGATAAGCCACCTACCAACTGGTGCAACATTTTGTAGGTCCTCCAGTAGAGAGGTTAGAATAAGGGTACCCTTTTTTTCTGTAGTCTATTTTAATACGGGAACCCTCCCCCAAAAAAGGAGGAAAGGGCACTACTGCGGGACCTAGCATCTAGAGCACTTGCGAGAACCGAATTTTCCCCCTGCCAGTTCTACCGACCATGAGATAACCGGCGGTGTTGGATGCAATGCTTCAGTTGGCGGGCTCAGCGGGGCATTTCCTTACCCCTTAAAACTCCGAGCCTTGGGGAAGTCAATCTTTTACAGACATATAGCCCATGTTACCCCCAAAAAGTTGAGAAAAGTTTTGTGTTTTTAAGGGGTAAGTTTCTTTGCCAGAAACTCAAACATGTCTTGTGATCCCGTGGCGTCTAACAGTCGGTGCTTGGTCTTGACGGAAAAGGACCGATCTTTCTCGGGGCGGGGGGGAGGGGTTTCCCCCCCAAAAAAAAGACACAGGCATATGAAAGCTTCACCGGTCGAATGGACACATCCGCATGCTACACAAAGACCCAAATTTGAGGTTGCTACTGTGGACCTCCCTCGGATACATCCCCAGGCAAAATAAAATAGGCATATGTCCAGTGAGTGACGGATCTTCTTCAAAACAATCAGGCTGTAAAATATGTTCATTTCAGCAAATGGAAGTGCTCGGTTGCTTTCTGCTCCCCTGCTAAAAGTGACTAACTTTTAGTGGTTTAATACGGAAAACCCATCAGTTGGCAAAAAGTTAAAGTCCTAACATCCAAGCAAAATGCACCAAGAGTGGATGCTCGCGAAATCCGCGAGTCTCGCACCACCGCTCAGAAACGCAACGGGTGAACTGTGGATGGATGAAATGCTTCGCCCCTCTTTGAAACCAGGGTTGAAACCATAGCGTTTGTAGGTATCATGCTTTGGCTTGAAGCGTTGGCAAAGTAAGACATCATTTGGGTACGTATTTTTCAACACAGCGGGTCCCCAAGAATGGTTGGCTTCCTTGTAGTTTGCCTTGAAATGCCAACATATCGACATCTGGGCTGTTCAAAATGGAGGGATGGCCAATCCTAATCCATAACCCCTATAGCAAAGCCACTACAAAGCGGACCAGTTCCTTCCATAACGAATTGGGTAAGGACTAAGGACTACATCTGAACAGCCCAAACCTAGATCCAGGGGCTCCAAATTCTGAGGGAAATCCCACCTGCATTTCAGCCGACCTGGGGTAGTCAACAAGTTGGAACGCAACCAAAAGAAGCGAAACTCACGTTGACATATCTAGAATCACAAAGTGTCACTCTCTCACCCATTTGGTTTACTCTCACTTGCTGAAGACCCCTGGAGAACATAACAAAATATGTCCAGTAGTGATAAATTCCGCTTCAAACCAACAGGGGAAAGCAAAACACATTCTTAAGCAAATGGAAGTTTAAAAGTGGCCCAAGTCCTTCGGTAGAAACTCATGTTTGAACTGTTCGCAACCTGTCACAGCCCACGAGCACGGTTGGTTCATCAGCCAGAGTTACGCTCGTGGCTCAAATGCTGTCGGACCTGCGCTCGGATGCAACACAGGGGCATGTGTCTTAAAACTGGTCGCAACCCCTTGCTTCACAACTCTTGGTGTGGTTGCAAAGAGACATGTTTTTTCAGCCCCCTAAAAATGAAAAAAAATTGCCAAGAACAGTTTTGGTTGCTTTGAAACTGCCACCGAAGGAAACCCATTTGTCCTCTGCTTTGGGATTCACCCACAATTTGCTCTAAGTAGGCAAAGGGAGCCATTTAGGTGTCACAATTCTGACATCTCGGATCGTCAAAACCGAAGCAGCACAGCTTTAGCCCAAGGGCCCCACCGCAAAGATGCAAACCGGGACACCCGCAGACAGACAGAGAGACAGGCAGAGACAGACAGAAATAGACAGAAACGGACAGAAACTGACAGGTCTCCGAAGCCTACGCCAATCCTCAGGCATTTTGGGTGTGAATTTTGATTGCGGACCCTCTGGTGGACATCGTTTAGGCAGGGGTTTAATGTCCACCAACCACTTGGGCGGGCATTCCTCATTACAATTCAGTGTCTGATCAAAAGGGCCAGCCTTTCAGGGGAAATAAATGGCCCTGGTGGATGATTGAAGCACCAGGTAAACCAGGGCCACCTATTTTTCTAGCAAAACAAAACAACCAAAAAGGACACCTATGCTTCCAGTTTTTCTCGACTCCGACGCTTGCTGAAGTGCCAGAGAATCCACAAGCCACGACAAAATGTCTAGGGGTTGGATTCCGTTTCCATTCTTTTCAGCCATCGTGCTTTTCAAAAACCGATTTCTGCATTTCCCCAGGGTTTTTGGTGGTTTTCTAGAAAGATTCGGATCCCTGGGTTCAGAATCGAAATGGAAGGTAGCCCTATGCCCGCATCCGGCATCCGCCTCACGGCTTCAAGGATCTCAAGAGTGCTCAAAATGAGGAACGCCTACGTCTTGAAGCTTCATATGGATGCGTTTCAAAATCGGAACCCCCCTGGTGGTTTTCCGTTTGCTTCCGTTTGAACCAACCCTCAAAATTGCATCCTTAACAAAAACACCCCCACACAGGTTGCCGTCCAAATCTCCCGAGTACGAAGCTGCTCCGCATCCGAGCATTCATTTTGAGCATGAGCAGTTGAACACTTTTTTTTGTTCCGAGTCGAACGAAGATGCAACCACAGGAGATCTCTGGCTCATACTCGATCCTGTCGACACATAACCTCTTAACCTCTTTCGCAACTGCAATGACATGCTCATATTTGAAGCCTTCCCGCTTTGACATCACGCCAGCAGGTGTTTTTTTTTCCAACTAGGGATGCCCGAACATGCTTGGTTTCCTTTTGGTTTCCCATCAATATTAAATGACAGCCAAAGGGCTCCGAATTCCATTTTGAGAAATTCCCAACTTGCAATCTCAAATTGGCCAAACCTGGCGTGCTGAATTCCTCTTCCCCCGCCTCAGCCAGAACTCCCGTTGGAGCTGCCACCAGAGCGTCCAGACGCTTCGCCTGAAGGTGCCGCCAAACTCACGACTGATTCATTCAGCCGTGGTTGACATAGGTGCCTTTTTGGGAAAATCGATGGCCCCGTGTTTTTCCTTTTTCTGAAACACGCATGTCATGTTCTACCAACCGGATCCGCCAAAATTGACTAACTTGTGGGTTAAATTCGGAAATCCAACCACTAAACACAACAAACATCTAAAATCCTAAGGAACCGAATGGCAGGGAACCCACCAAGTGGAGGGGAATGTCATTTCAAGTGCCCTAGGCTGATTTTGAGGTCACTTACATCCTAAAACTCACACTGGCAAATTGTACCATGAACAGTACTTAAAGAGGCGGGGTACTTAGTAAGTGATTAGTAAGCCTGGTTGTAACCCACTGAAAGGAGACTTATAACCATGGTAAATGGGTTATAACCAGGCGTACTAGCCACCTACTAAGTACCCCGCCCCTCCTTTAAGTAGGCAAAGGCGATGCAAGCTTACACCCTGCCAAAAAGTCGTGCCAAACTTGTTCCTTCCTGTCTAGTGGAGTTTCTACACGCGCCTGGGCAAAACAGTTCACGCTCGCTCCCTACAGATTTGTGAACGGCATCCCCAACAAACCGTTAAACCATTTATTGGGTTGTCCACATTGACCCCCTGCTAAAAAGTGTAATTTGTGGGGTACATGGACACCCAACCACTAACAAAAAACTGAAATGCTAAAAACCTACGGAACCTTTTTGAACCGCCAGGCTTGTCTACCCTTAAGGCTCCAAGGGCTCTCTTTGGAGCCCTCAAAATCTGTTGTGTTGTTTTGTTCAGCCCCTGCAAGGTCCTGCATAGCTTGCTTCCTGCGTGGATTGGCCCAAAAAAAACATGTGTTTGTTTGCCCCTGAAATGGTCCAAACCCAAAAACCCAACTCAAGTCCAGGTACGCAACCAGTGAGATACTTACAGGGGCGATCGGGTACTTCAGTGGTTCGCAAGCTTGCTTCTTCTATGGCTTTGCTATCACTGGGCTTAACAACCACCTTCCCGAGGTACCCTTTAATGGGGCCTTTAAATTTTAGCAGTTAAGTGGGGATTTCCCTCTAAACCACAATAAGCAAAAAATGCAAAATGCGTCCCAACAACAACCATGTAAGGGGGGGGCCATCTAGTCCTGGTGCTTTCGGTAAACCCAAGGCACTAAGGCACTGGACCCCCCAGGCCCCCCCCTGGCCGTCGCAGGCCTGAGAGGCCAGAGCCGGCCACAGAGCTGCCGGCGCCCTTCTTCCTCTTGCCGGTGATGCTCTTCGTGGTTCGCACGATCCTCGCCGAGTTCAGCTGGGTGTGTCCTTCTAGGGGACCCCCCAAATGCATAAATTAAGAACCAAACAAAAAATATATATATATATATATCTACATATAGAGAAGTATCTGGCAGCGTCCCCTCCCACCCCATAGTCATAGGTTGTAGGTGATAAGAAACAGGACTCAAATGTGCCACGGACATGGCCTATGGCCATTTGTTCCCTGAATAGGAACCATTGTGGTTAAGTCCCTACCAGGACTTTGACCATCCCCTTGGCCCCCCCGCCCAACAACAAAACACCACAAAACACATATATGTTCCTTTCAGGGTTTCTCTTAACAGGACCAACAGCGGGGCACCAACTCCAAAAAAAACATCCATGTCGTCTCCCCGCTCAAAAGGACATGAATTCGAGCAGGGCCCCGTTCGACTTGGTCTGTGAGAAAGGTT